GGTTATGTTTGAAACAAATAAGCTCCACAAGATCCTTATATTAATACACATTGATGTGATTATGTATATGAGGCGCTGGAGAGTTTTATATCCAGGTGAAACACTTTTCCCTAATTTTCGATGACAATCTAATTAAGGTCAGTTCACAATGTAAACTCTTATATTATATAAAAGTGGAATTGAATTCATTATATGTATCTATATCATGACAAAGAAAAGTTAACCACACTTACTTTTTGCATTCGTTTGTCATATTAAAATTGACTTGTTCTAATGGCCACCGTGAAGCATCTGGTAAGTTATGTTTATCACTTACTAACAGTTTTAAATAGTTTACAAAATTTTACATTATTTGTTTACCACTAAAAAGATTCAACCTGTGTAAATAACCAAACCAAATGACAATAACTAATTAGTTGAGATGAGATTTTTTTCTTTACATTCAAAATAGTCAAAGAAAAAAAATAAAATAAATTAATCCAATCGATAATTTCTATTTGACAGAAATTATGTAATCTGAGACACTAATGAACATGGTGGATCTGATACAGATGTGAAAGCACGGATCAGTAAAGCAAGAGCAGTATGTTTACAACTGAAGGACATTTGGAACTCAAAGCAACTGTCAACCAACACCAAGGTCAGGATTTTCAATACAAATGTCAAGACAGTTCTACTGTATGGGATGGAAATCTGGAGAACTACGAAAGCCATCATCCAGAAGATACAGATGTTTGTTAACAGTTGTCTACGCAAAATACTCCGGATCCGTTTGCCGGACACTATTAGCAAAAACCTACTGTGGGAGAGAACAAACCATATCCCATCGGAGGAAGAAATTAGGAAGAAGCGCTGGAAGTGGCTAGGACACATATTGAGGAAAGCACCCAACTGCGTCACAAGACAAGTCCTCACATGAAATCCTCAAGGCCAAAGGAGGAGTGGAAGATCAAAGAACACATCACGCCAAGAGATTGAGATAGACATGAGAAAAATGAACAAGAATCGGATGGAACTAGGAAGGAAGGTCCTGGTCAGAGTGGGTTGGAGAATGCTGGTCGGTGGCCTATGCTCCATTAGGAGTAACAGGCGTAAGTAAGTAAGTAATGTAATCTGAGATGAAGATTTCTATCGATTGCAGCTATGAATATCCGTTTACATAAATTTAATGAAGTATTTAATGTGTTCATAAATTAATTAGATTAATAATTTTCTTAATGTAATATTAGATGTTTATGATTTAACAAAAGATAATGCGTTTCATTAACATTTATAACAAAAAAAAGGGAATTTATGGTTTCTTATTTTGGTTAATTTACAGGAAACATTCCAAACAATATTACCAAACTACAAATATGTTTAATCGAAAATTGAAAGTTATGTAATCAGGATTTAATCAATCATAATAGATCTTAATTGACTGAATAATTTTGAATAATTTTTTTCTGGTTAGCGTCTTTTTTAGCGAGTTAGTTTTCTACGGGATGGGGTCGTTAACCGTATGCCCAACCCTCCTCCTTTGTCCGGGCTTGGGATCTACAGTATCCCTAGAAAGGCTTCAGGCGGAGTTTCTTAGTGACTAGTAAATATTTATTTTGTTAGTTGAAATAACGAGTCAATCTAAGCTACACTGGAAGGCCATTTTGTCCTAGTATGGGACTTGACACCAATGCGCCTCCATGATCCCATAAGCGACACTTTAACCTAGGACTGAATGAATGGATTTGAGGAAATTGTTTTAATATGTTCAATGTATAATTTTTAATACATATTTTTTTGAATGACTACGTTTTATAAACAAAATGATTAAATGATCAAATGGGTTATGAATGAGAACGTGAATCACTATCAGTTGAAAATATTCGTTGATAAAAATTTTGTAATATTTCATACATTTTGACCGACCACCCTATGACTGACATAATTATATCTTAGACTAAGACCAAGATCATTTGACTCCTAATGTTTCAGAATACATGTTTTTTCTTCTATCCTAGTCTCTGGTTTAATAAGAAGGAACACAAAAGTCAAGCTTCTGTACAACTATATTTCAGGCGCCCAGTTATTATAACTCAAATATTTATGAGTTTATATGTATGAATCACCAAACCATATCGTAACTTAAAATAAGAAATCATACTCTATAGACAATCAAAGCAGAGAAATGAGTAGATCATACATAATTAATTAATAATAATTAAGTGATAATAATATGTATATTTATCGGTGAACTGAATTATATTACTTTTATGTTCCCTGTTAGAACAACCAGTTGCAGTTTGTTTTTGTTTTGAATTCAAACGAAATAATTACTATAACACAATTCATCTATTTTACTAAACTTTGGTGATTTATTAGCATAATACATTTTAAACTATAATCTAATCATACATCTACTGATTAAGAAGTTAGACAAATTGAAACAAAAGAACAGAATATGGGATTAAAAAGAAAACAGTGAGAATCATACGATTCTGTATAATAATTCATTATTACAATGGTTTGTTTCATGTGATGACTTGATAGAACATTGATATTAATTATAATCTTGTAATTTGTTATGACTAAGGAAAAACTGTCATTTGCTTTACATGTTCAACAGAATATATTTGACAAGACCATAATAGAAGATTTATTCATGCACCTAACATTAATTTTAAAATGATCAGAATGGCATCCAAAATTACAATAAGATGTATATCATGTTAAATCTTCAGTAAACAGATATATTAAATGTACTGAGCCAACAGTAGTTAACATTAGTCATTAATGTAGTATAAGTATAAAAATTTTTTTCACAAAATCAATAAATAAATTACTTTGACTAATAAATGACTAAATATCTAAGACTAGAAATTTGTTTTGGAACATAAAAAGTAAGTTTGATACTTTATATAACTAACAATGTTAATAAACATTGCTATACTCCCTCTCTATGGACACTTTCATGTAACCATACTAACTATTCTAATTATCTTAATGATAACTTAATAATTTCAATGGTTAAGATCATGAGTCAATTGAAGCTAGACCACCATGGAAAACCTGGAAGTATTGTGGGAATCCTCAGCAGTGTGCATCCACGACCTCGCCCCCTGCGAGATTCGAACCCAGGACCTACTGGTTTCGCGTGCGAGCACTTAACCAGGTTTTCCATGGTGGTCTAGCTTCAACTGTCTCATGATCTTAACCATTGAAATTACTATAATATCCACAATACCCATCTGATAATTTAATAATCAATATTCGGAGAGATTTGCATGTTCAATTTTTTCAACTTACAAACATTAATATCATTTTCTTGAAATTAGATTTAATTTCTGTTTCATAATAAGATTTAAACAAAATTACTTAATTATTTTTTATTAATTTTAATTAATAATAACAAGAAGAAGAGGAAGAAATGGAAAAAGAAGAAAAAGAAAAAGAAGAAGAAAATAGAAATAAATTATCCATTTCATTTCATGTCACTATTAAAATTAGAAAATAAATCTTATTCTAGGGTCAAAATATTCATCAGCCTGAAAACTAATTAAACTTATTTGAATAAGTAAATATATATTTATTAAAACAACAATCTGTTCAATTTTAAATAAATTGAAGGTCAATTGAATAATGAACGTTTAAAACCAAAGTTCATATCTTCTTTTATCTTTTTTTTGTTCATTGAAAATATTATTTATTTCATTAAATGAATGATAAAAAAAAAGAAAAACAATAATTTAAATTCACTTGGTATTGTTTTATTTAAGTCTTTTCATTGATGTCTAGGAAATGTAATTGATCAGTCTCTTATTGACATATGTGCATACTATGTATATTATCTTGACATTGTCTTATTTCACAAGCATTATAAGCAAAGATGGATAGTAGTTAGCAATGAAATCTAGGACACGCGTTTCGTCCTATTCGGGACTCGTCAGCTAGATGTGCCTGCATCCCAGTATTGATGTTCACTCTTTGCTTATAAAAGAATGATTTTTTTATTACTTAATTTATTTATATCAAATACAAAGAAGATTTGAATATTAACTTGATAGAATTCAATTCAAGATTTTATTATTTAAATATAAACCAAAATGTTTTTCAATATTAAATTATTTTCGAAGTGTTTCATACTCATTTGTTTATACTGAAAAGATTCATTTATCATTGACTTGTAAAAACGTTTATTTATAAATAAACATTGGAACTAAGAACATACACTTTGTCCATTTGAAACTCACTATTTGCATATAATTTAATCCCAGTGTTGATATTTCCAGGAGGATTCAAACATAGTACCTTGTATTTTGAATGTTCAGAAACGTTTTCCTTTAAACTGCTGAGTTCAAATAGTCTAAAGTTAAGTAACTTCTGTTGATAAATTTCATATAGAGCAAATTTTTACTTCTTGGATTCTGCTGTTAGTCACAATTCCACTTCATTTAAACCTGTACCTAGAAAGTATTATCAAGACAATCCACATATATGGCGATACAGACTGTTCAAAATTGAGTCTTTATTATCAATAACGAGAAACTGAAATCTATATATATATATATATATATATATATATATATATATATATATATATATATATATATATATATATATATATATATATATATATATAGTTTTCTACTTTGATCAATTCAGTCTTAAATGTTGATCTCAAAAAAAGTCAACTGTATACAATATGTATTCACATTTGACTTATTTCGCAAATTACTGTTCGATTTAAAAGACCCACATATCTTTCGTTCGATCTGTCATACTATAATGGCTTAGTACTAAACTTGTTTACTGAAGGAGCTCTGATTTTCAACGGTGTTCCAGCTAAAAACCAACTCATGATTTAGACTATATTTTGAAAAATGTCTATAAACTTTGATTATTTATAGCAAACTGTCAACTTGATTATATAATCCATTAAATGTCATATAGTTTTATGAGACAATTTACAAATAACAACTTATTTAGGGTAACTGTAAGCATTCAATGATTTAAAAAATATTTACTTTCTAATATAAGAATACTTGTAAGGATTTTCCATACACACACATACTTTTGTTCATATATGCTGTTGATAATGATTTCAGTCGATGCTATTCATTAAAACATATGACAATTTGGAACTTCTTCCTCTTAATTGATCATCTTAATCAATAATATTATTGTTTATTCTTGAAAATATTTCATTGAGATATATGATGTCATGTTCATATACTAACTTATGATAATCAAATCTATCTATGCTTATCAAAATCATATTTAAGTATGAATGAATCAATGACAGGTTTATTAATGAATAGCAACTATATTGTATATAAATATTATATATATATATGCAAATCAAAAATGTGAGCCTATATGTGCTTGAGTAAGGTATGCAACATGTGTATTGATTTGCTAATGTTAATAATAAGAAAAAAACTGGTTTCTCTCAGTCACCGGTCTATCTGTCTACCCAATTTTAATTTTAAAAGCACTTCAGCTATGGTGTGTGCTACTGTTGTCGACTGATATAAGTAGTATGTATCACCAACTAAAAATAAATATTGAATTAGGATTAACAGTGTGATGACAGATGAAGGAATACTGTCATTACTATTGATAATAACAATAATAATAATAATAATAATGGTAGCAGTAGTGGTGGTGTGGTGTATGCTCCTTATGTCTCTCTACATAAATAATATGTAACACCAATCAGAAGTGGAATGCCTGTTAAAAGACGGTTGAGAAGATTCAGCTGAATAAAACAGAAAGGAATTGAGAATTGGAGAAATCAGACAGATTGTAATGGACAATCGACAGAAGATTTGCAAATTAATTATTTAGTGTATGATTTTCACATTTTACCAAAGAGCTTTTTAATTTCGCAATAAAAAATAGAAATTGGTATACCACCACCTGAGTGTTCACTCACTACGGTAATGGTAGTAGTAGTAGTAGTAGTAGTAGTAGTAGTAGTGATAGGAATTAATGGTAATAATAACGAAAATAAGAGTTTTAATCTGTAAATGGTATCAGTAGAATTTAACCTCAGTCAAATTACCGGTGAATATCATGGATCGATAACAGATGTTTTGTCATAGTATCGAACTTTCTAGAATTTTGCATCTACGATCTCATTAGAAATTGATCTCACGGCTTTTAGGACCCACAGTAAACTCTTAACCACTAGGATACTAGGTTATTTCTTAATTATATACATTTCAAAATTCAACCTCTTAAATGGTTGTTCCATAATGAATACATTTTACAAATTTAAGTAGTCTCATAAAACACCTATATACACGTTTCAAGAACTGAAGTTGGAGAGCTGAATCAACAGTCTTCAGGAGTTACGTAATGTCAAAATCTATGTGGAAAAGCAATAGATAGGTTTTTAAAATAGAATAAAAATTGGTAAGATCATTGAAAGTACAAATGTACTCAAGCCCCTGTAGTTTCTGATGTATATAGAGAAATAGTTCTGACAAAGTCTTTGACTTATCAGATGGTTGGCTCAATTTAGCACAAAATATTCTATTTCTGTCTATCACATAAAAGCAATAGATCCTTTTTGAACCACAAAACTAGATGTTTACTATATATATATATATATATATATATATTAATGACAAATAAAAGGTGACAAACGAGTGCTGACTACAAAAAACTTCATTTTACTTTCCTGGATAGTTTATCATGCGGATTATTCTTGGGTATATCGTCGTTGACTTAAACCTGCCATTTTCAACAACCACTAAATCGATTTTAAAAATATCAAAATACTGCAAAAAGGCTTTTCTAACTACAAAGAAAGGAGGGTAGCTGAAGCGTTCCATATAATGCTTAATCCCACTTCCCTCAATAGAAAAGAAGGCCTTACCATACATCCTACTTGGACCATCTATCCTAACCATTCAGTCTGATCGTATTTACAATTTCACACCATCATATTACAAATCTAAACTCTATCCTTTCTTACCATAAAGGTCACACAAGTTTTCATTCTTAAACAATGCACACATACATACACACACAAATTTACATACATATCACCTATGAATCACCCTGACAGAAATGACAAGACATCAACTTGTTCAGACCTGTTTTTGATTGATCAATACTATTCTTGCATTGTTCCGTTGTACTATTTAAACTTGGATTATTCTCTGAGGAAGCGACTTAAACTAAGTCACGAAACGTCAGAAAATCTAATTTTCTACTCATTGGGATATTACAAATATATTATTTTTATTTATGTAATCCTTTTTGTTTGACATTTATTTATCTTTCACATCTCGATTATATAGGGCTATAATCGTACGAATAATATTGCTGAATTTTATGGGTCGAAATAAATCGAGAAGTTTAATTTACACAGATAAATTTAAAGTTAAACATCTATATGCTCTGTCCTATTTTTCAAAAATGTAATCAATATCATTGTATCGGACTCTACTCACAAGGATATTTGTAATTAGTGTGCTGCCAAACGTGATGTTGAAGTTTGCAACAGTTGTCAGACAGATTGAAGAATTTCAGTGCATCAAAAGCGAGGAGTTGATCGACCACTTCAAGGCAGTCAAGGAAACAGCTCATTTTACAGAACACACCGATAGATGAAATAAAACGATTGAAGACTATATATGTATGTACTATGTAAACACTTTATAACTTCTCAATTATATTGTATGTAACCTAGAAAAATTATGTAACAATAAAGTGCATTCGATTCTAAGTATGAAAATCAATCACGATAACCGATAATCTCAATCAACTTATTAAATATTGAACATTTGTTTCAATTATGTTTCATACAAACAAAAGTTTCCATTTCATTTAAACAAACAATATTTATATTTGAAAAATTTGAAAAGTAATCTTAAAAACAACTTCAAAAAGAAAGAAACGTTGTCATGGCGAAAAAAAAGACGAACTATTCAAATTCTACTTTTGAAGTTGTCACAATTTAATCTTTAACTGACATTGATTGTTGTTACAAACGATGTATTCACTTGAAAAATGTAACATTACAGTTTTAGATAAACAATTAGAATAAATATAAAAAATGTTAAGGAAATTATCAATAAAATTGTGTAGATTTTTTCATTTACAAAATTATAGTTCAGCATGACAATTTCATGTCATATTATTCACTATTTTAGACAAACAAAGTTAACTTAATGAACAATAATATTCAGAAGTGACATACAGTGATTAACTGATAAATTAGAAATTCGACTATTCATTTTTTTTCACCAGAAGGGGTTTTGTGGAGATTTTAGAAATTTCACTGGTTGAAATGATGAGTCAATTGAAGCTAGACCATCATGGAAAACCTAGGAGCACTGGACTGCCGTTTCATCCTAGTATGGGACTCCTCAGCAGTGAGCATCCACGATCCCGCCACCCATGAGATTCGAACACAGGACCTATCCGTCCAGTACTTCCAGGTTTTCCATAGTGGTCTAGCTTCAATTGACTCATGATATTCATTTTTTCTTTACAAATGATATTGACCAATAAACGGTTGAAATGAATTAATAGCTTTCTTCATAGTGTTGATTTCAACATAGAATATCAGCTAAAATATCATTTAAAACTGTGTAAAATCAGAAAATTGTTAATAGTTCTGGAACAGCTCATCGAATTGTAGACAGTATCATATACAGTGTTGAAATAATGGTTTTTATCATGGGCTGACATTAAATGTATAATCCAGTAAAACAATGAACAGCTGATTAGTTTCAGTTTAAGTCTTCATAAAAGTGCATACCTATGATATTACATGGAATTGAGATTAGAGTCTTTGAGACTTACACTTAATAAAAAATTTTTAAATTATTTAATTTGAATTCTTTACTCAAGGTTCACAACTTTAGACAGTTTTTCTGATGTAGAGTAAAGATTGTACAGCAACACAAACATTATCTTATTTTATCACACAAGAGTTTATACTATGATTTCAGATTTTCTATAGATGTCAATCATACTCATCATCCAACGTGTAGCTCATAGATTTCATCTTGAGTAAATTTATAGCAAAGCACTAATACAGTATATGAAACAAAGAGAAACTAGCTTTTCCATGTTGCCTGATTTTCAATAGATCTCATATTTCAAGAGTTAGATATCTAGTTTTATTCACTTGACAAAGTAAAAACAGAAATCATTTGTTATGAAATGATCATGTAAAGATTCTATTAACAAGCTTTAAAATATTTGGATTATTATAGAATGTGGTTTATTACTGTTGTAGAGAACAGAACACGGGCGGGGACAATCAAATTATAAATAGCACAGAGTTACTTGGTAAAATAGAAAACCCATACTATAATACATAATTTGTAAAATGTTCAATAATTGTCTCGAACTTCATTGTTCTTGCATTTCCATACTAATTGCTTTCTATTCCCGCTCTTCCTTTCTTGATCTTCTCCATCTTCTGCCACCAGACATTACATTCCTGACTCGCGTCATATACTACTTACATCAGTATGAGTAGCACGCACCACACTGTGTCACATGGAAGAAAAAGTAATTAACAGGTTTAGTATTAAATACTTTTAATAATAAATATTCTCCTTAACAATAGTGAGTAAGTATGGTGTATTTGAAATAGTTTTATAAAAGGTGATTTAAGAGGATATTTAATTTTACTACATTTTAGTATTGAAGTCTTTAACATAACATGTAATTTTAGTCAAGTTTATTGTAAATAAACATAATTCACTTTATATGTACGAGAGGTTTGTGATGAATGTTCACCTTGGTTAGATAACCATGGAAAACCAAGAAGAGCAAGATAGTTGTTTTGTCTTAGTACAGGACAACACAGCTATTCACATACACTACATCACGTATTCACTAGTGACTAACTTTGAGGAGTAAATGTCAGAATTCTAGTAATAAGTTTTAACGAATGGAATGCAGTCATGTCTAATAAGAGACAGTTACTCATCAATCATATTGTACGATATCATAAACTGATTGAAGTCAGCGATGTAAACCACTAAGTCCTGACTGAATATTTTAATGAATAAGCATTTGTCATAAAAT